ATAAAAAGAAATAGAAGAATCTGGTTATCTGCCTATTGGCTGATGATAATTACAGGTCTTTCATTTCGAGGTTACAAAATTGATTTTTGGATACAGTAGTTTTGCTTTTGGTTAGTCTTAAGCATTCTGATATCCAGAACCTAAGCATCTTTATTTCATTTTCAGTAGTTGAAATTTGGACAAATTTGATTGCACTAATTTCCTCATTATATTAAATAGAAAACTCCATGTGTCAATCTGAACAAAACCATTCATCATTTTTAGGGAAAATTTCAAATAAAATAGTATGAATGTGTCCACCTGATGTTGAGCTGAACTGTTTGCATGGGTAGATTTAGTAGCTGCCTGAGTTGGCTGAGGTTATTTTTTCATCATGAAGATTGAGAGTTTTAACCTATTAGGTGGTTGTGTTGTGCTTAAACCTTTAACAGATCTAATTTGTTTGTTAGTTACAGTTATCAATTATTTGTGGGATCTTAATATTAAAACAACACATGATACTGAATTTGGAAATTTCAACATTTCCCCTGTAGTTTTATATCACACTTCAAAGCAAATTATGATGGCCCTTTTATAATCACATAGGGCAATTTTTCCTGATTTATTGATTAGAAAGCTAATAAATTTTAACTTGTCACAGATAATTAAAATTTGATTTGGACAGAGATGTGAAGTAGACACCCTGTGGGGGAAGCTAATCAATAAATTTGTAATTACTGACAACTTCCAAAAAGTCACTATATCTTTTCTAATTACACTCATTGACTAGTGTTTTACCTAGGACAGTTTGTAAGAGAAAATTGGTGGACCAGAAGGAGAATATTTTCCAGCTTTCTAGTAAAAGATGCATGATGTTTAAATTGTTATTTAATTGGAAACATTAATCATTGTCAGTATAGAATGTGCAGTTTAAGAGCAAACTGCTCAAATGATGTGTCAGTTTTAATTTTATCTTTGGCTAGATATCTCTGAGTTAAATTAGATTAAAATTTCAGAAAAGTTCATTTAAGATGTTTCAAAGACAGTGTCTGATGCAATAATGAAAAAAAAATGTGTTGAATAAATCATTAATTATATTCTGATACAGTTAATTATGTTATTTGATTTATATGCTAGTGACTATCACTCTTATTTTGATTGAATGAAGACCCATTTGTTCTACTTCTTCTGGACTTAATTACTTTGTTATGTCAATATTTCACAAGTTTATGGTTTGTTTTTTATTCTTAAACCACAAGCAACTAGCTTAATGCATACATTTTTTCAATTAAATTTCCATCTACATTTATTGATATATCTATTTCTGCTCTACTTCACTCTTCACCTACTGTCTTGTCTGTTGTCCGGCTCTCCTATTTCATATCTATTTCTGCTCTACTTCACTCTTCACCTACTGTCTTGTCTGTTGTCCGGCTCTCTTATTTCATATCTATTTCTGCTCTACTTCACTCTTCACCTACTGTCTTGTCTGTTGTCCGGCTCTCTTATTTCATATCTATTTCTGCTCTACTTCACTCTTCACCTACTGTCTTGTCTGTTGTCCGGCTCTCTTATTTCATATCTATTTCTGCTCTACTTCACTCTTCACCTACTGTCTTGTCTGTTGTCCGGCTCTCTTATTTCATATCTATTTCTGCTCTACTTCACTCTTCACCTACTGTCTTGTCTGTTGTCCGGCTCTCCTATTTCATATCTATTTCTGCTCTACTTCACTCTTCACCTACTGTCTTGTCTGTTGTCCGGCTCTCCTATTTCATATCTATTTCTGCTCTACTTCACTCTTCACCTACTGTCTTGTCTGTTGTCCGGCTCTCTTATTTCATATCTATTTCTGCTCTACTTCACTCTTCACCTACTGTCTTGTCTGTTGTCCGGCTCTCTTATTTCATATCTATTTCTGCTCTACTTCACTCTTCACCTACTGTCTTGTCTGTTGTCCGGCTCTCTTATTTCATATCTATTTCTGCTCTACTTCACTCTTCACCTACTGTCTTGTATGTTGTCGGGCTCTCCTATTTCAGCTCATACCCTTCTATTGTTTTATAACTGCTCATCAATCAAATGAGTACAATGTAACTTAATTTCATATTTTCCCATTTTTATTTCAATTTTCATGTATTATTCTGTAATATCTTTCTTTAAATATTATTGCAACAGGCTGCTGATTACCCTATCTTTATTTATAGGTACAGAATTACCATACCTATTTCTTGTTTGAAATATGTCTGTTATGTTTATAGAATAAATAAGAACCAGTATGTGGAGATATAGAGGAGAATATATCATCAGTATTGACAGTTGTATCACCCCAGCATCTCCCAGCTGTCAGCCAGGTGAAAGGTGAAAGTACCTAGAGTAATTACAACTCTCCAAAACTACATGCTTTACTGGTCATACATTTTCCTTGAATTCACATCTCTGAGTGAGAAAAAAATTATAAAAAGAGATAGAGAAGTATGTCTGAAAGGGAAAAGAAATTAAATCAAGTTTAAGATGGATGAAAGTTCTCTAAATACTTGCAATAGTAGTATTGAATTATGTTATCTACTGACTTATATTGTCTGGCTGAGAAGATGTTTAATATTTTCTTAGTGGATGGATTTGTTCATTGTATAACTCATTGGCATATAGCAAACAGGTAGTTTATTCTAAGTGTGAACAAGAAAAGCATTGATGCAAAGCATCAAAGGGCGTCCAAGCAAGAAATGCAGCAGGTGCAGATGAACTAGTAGATATATGATGAGAAGATATTCTTATAAACTTTTCAATGGTTCATTGGTTTTTACCAGAATTGTATATCACTTATGAATGAACGGACGAAAGACATTGTTCATTATTTATAACTTTGATAATTAGAATATTACTTGTTATTTCTTTATGAATAATTCATAAAATCTGATTTGTAACTTTGAATAATTCCTCGGCATCTTTACTAAACACGAATAACAAATTAAATAAAATGTTTCAAAGTTGATAGTGTCATATTAATGCCATAAAAAATGTACATTTTTTCTCAATTATTGTACATATTTATTGTTTTTATCTCATATAGATAAAATAAAACATGCGATTTGTGTTGTTGGGTTTTTTCGAATTGTATGTTTATATATAATATTAATCAATAAATTTGAGAGTTGATCTGTGTTTATTAATTATTATAACAAAACTAAGTGACAAACATTCATTTTGAAAAAAAGCTTATTTATCTGTAAAATATTTGTTCTGTTCTGTAACGATATCAAACATCTACTCCAAAACCGGGAGAGACCGGACAATAAACGTGTGGTACTATTCGCCGGTCACTAGTAAATCCCGGGAGAGACCGGGAATTACCGATAGGAGTACATCCCTCTATAAATAGATTTTCGGAATATTTAGGTCATCAACTCATCATTCTATTTACAGCTTTCAGAATAACATACCATAATAACCCACTGTGTACTACAAAATGATAAATAAAAATACCCCGAAGAGCGCGATTTATTGACAGAAAAGGTTATTTCATTTTGTGAAATTCTCCAGTTCGCTATTCATTGTACATATCGCGACTAATTAATAATCAAGCACCCTCATACCGATCGGAATGATCGGCTTTTATTATGAACAACTATAAAAGGCTCGAGAAGTTGCTGTCGCCCTTTCACAAAATCTGATTTCATTCCATAATAGGCGCCGCGCTTCGGCGCGGACGCCAATGAGATTCTTACATGCTTCTCAACTGTTGACCTCAGAAGAATTAACATATTGTGACAACATAGTAAAACATGTATGAGGTCAGTGACCACTAATATTAGTTGTTGCTGTGACTGACAGCATCTATTGTGTATGATGTCATGTATATATGTAAAATACAACCTACATATCATTATCTGTCAAGATATTGTCTAGAAACTCACTTTGACATCTCTGCTTGGAGAAGTCTTCTAGATGTAAACTATACTTTCTCTATTGATTGTTACATGACTCGTCACAATCATTTTTACTGGCTGGATTGGAATTCTAAATTTTCTCTTTGTAAGTTAACTATGAAACATCATCTTCTTTTAAGTTTTATTTATTTGTAAATGAATTGTTATATAAATTATTTGAAGTTTTTAAGCATTATTATTTGATGTAAAAGTAATCTTTTGATTTATATATATATATATCCATGTAAATAGAACATAATGAAATTAGTCAAGGTTTTATCTGTGCTTGGTCAAAACGCTTTCGATAAGCAGAACTTGGAGTTACTAATGGCTTTTAGTGAGGATTTTACCATCTGACTGTTCCTGCCATTACCAGGAAAATTCAGTTGTTAAAAAGACTTGCTATTCCATGGATGTGTGGCCTGTGATTTAAATGTGACATTAATGTTATATATTTGTTACAAAAAAAAAAGAAAGAAAAAAGATATGAGTAAATGCCCTTGGCAAAAAAGATTAACATACAATGAATAATATATACATGAACACTCATTATACAGTACATAAACATACATCTTGATTTATGATAGGTAAAGAACATGTTTTGTAGAAAAACTTTCTTTTCAATCTAAGCGGCAGATGTTAGCTCTTTACTTGTATATAGTGAAGTGGCTCCGTTTTGATAGCAAAATATTTAAGGTATACCTCATACAGCTTTCTGTTGATACTTATGTTATATATGTTTCTACATTGATTTTACGATGGATGTGGTTAGTGGTATATTGCTACTTATTACTTAGGATTTGTATGTCAAATTTTGTTGACAAATTAGTATAAACTGTAGCTGAATGAATAAAATATTACAAACATAATTGAACATTTGCAATCATAATTATATTCATGCATATGTAAACCTAAATGAACACAGCTGATAAGTTTTCATTTAAAATAAAACAAGTTAATCTTGAGAATGTCCCTCAGTAGATTTATTATCATTCTCATGGTAACGGCTGTTTGCATTTATTTTTGAAAAAGTGTGTATTTATGAGTTTATAATATAATCAAATGTTACATGTTATGCTTTGTGAATTTCAGAAAGATGATCATAGTGTGACAGTGACAGGAATTTGTAGAGGAGATTCTCATCACATAATATAGTGTAGCTTGATTGGAAAATTCTTAGGATATATTCTGGAATCTCAACCAGTGAATTTTTGTGTGAAGTTGATTGAAGGCGTTTTGTGTTTTCTGAGATTGGAGTATAATTTTTGTCTGATAACAGGATACTATTTTAAAATTAGCAACAAAAAATGGCAGACACTGCAGAGGAAAAATTGCAAAATATGAACATCCAAGGTAAAGAAAATACTAAATGACACTGATGTGTGTCAGTGTAGGAATATTTACAGCAACAACCTGTCTATACTAGGTCAATCAATAAGAAAATCAGTTGTTTCTTCTCTGATTTGGTTTAATATTGTTTTCTTTTTCTTGCAGAATGTTTTTGATAAAGGGCATTTAGGAATAAAGGCATTCCTATTGGTTTAACATCTGAATACATTAGTTATAACATGTTTGTAAATAAGTTATTACATTATCCAAAATGTAGTTCATTTATTTTTAATATATTAACTGAGTGATTTCTTCATTAACATTTTTTAGCAATTTGGGTGGGCTTAAAGATTTTAAGCAGGCAATTTGGCAAAAATGTTGGTAGATATATATTTATAAACTGTATATTCTAAAATAATAACACAGATGCTAATAGCACCAGAAATGTTATGAGAAGTTAATATGTGACACTAATTATATTAATGAGCTTCAAAACACTAGTAAAAGGTACATACATATCTTTTTATTGCAAATAATTAATCTGTGGTAGGTCACTAAATAAGATTATATATACAGAAAATTACTATACTGTTTCTTTATGGACTGATAAATATTAAATACATTTAGTATACAATATCTTTTAATTGATGATTTTGAAAGACTGGAAGTTTTATGTGTCCTATTTTGAATTTTACTTAAACATTTAAATGGTGTTATTAATTCTTACTAGCCTGTGTCAATTTCTGAATTATTGTAGAAACATGATAATTTAATGACTTAAACATGATAATTTAATGACTTATATTTGAATAATTTATTCAGAAGTGGACTTGTTCTAAATCTATTATACTGATACATCTTAAAACTGAATAATTATACCCCCACCACAAAATGTGGGGGGGGCTATAATGGACTCGCTTTGTCGCGTCGGTCGGTCAGTCGGTCGGTCGGTCCGTCCGTCCGTCTCCATTTTCGTGTCCGCTCTATAACTCCTATACCACTTGAAGGATTTTCTTCAAACTTGGCTCAAATGTTCACCTCAGCAAGGGGATGTGCAGAACCCATGTTGCCAATGTGTCAGCTCAAGGTCAAGGTCACAATTGAAGGTCAAATATCAAACACAATCATATATTAGACAGTATGTCGTGTCCGCTCTGTAGGTCCTACAATAATTGAAAGATTTTCTTCAAACTTGGCTAAAATGTTCACCTCAACAAGGGGATGTGCAGAACTCATGTTGCCCATGTGTCATTTTAAGGTCAAGGCCACAATTGAAGGTCAAATATCAAACAATCAAATATTACACAATATGTCATGTCCGCTCTGTAAGTCCTACACTAATTGAAAGATTTTCTTCAAACTTGGCTCAAATGTTCATTTCAACAATGGGATGTGCAGAACCCATGTTGCTCATGTGTCAGCTCAAGGTCAAGGTCACAATTGAAGGTCAAATATCAAACAATCAAATATTACACAGTATGTCGTGTCCGCTCTGTAAGTCCTACACTTATGGAAAGATTTTCTTCAAACTTGGCTCAAATGTTCACCTCAACAAGGTTATGTGCAGAACCCATGTCACTCTTTTGCCGGCTTCAGGTCAAGGTCACACTTGAAGGTCAAAAATTGACTTAGAAAATGTTCTTTAATTTTAACATATATCTGAATATTTCTGAATCTAGGAAAGGTATTTGCTTGAAACTTAAAATATAAATGAAGTGTCACAATTAAGATATGCTGGTCAAGTTTCATAACTCTGTATTGCATTTTAACAAAGTTATGCCCCTTTTTAATCTTCAAATTTACATACAATCACATATTAGACAATATGTTGTGTCCGCTCTATAAATTCTATACTAATGGAAGGATTTTCTTCAAACTTTACTCAAATGTTCACTCCAATTGGGCGATGTGCAGAACCCATCTTACCCTTGTGCCAGCTGAAGGTCAAGGCCACACTTGAAGGTCAAAAATTGACTTATAAAAAGTTTAGTTTGTGTCCGCTCTATAAATCCTTTACTAATGGAAGAATTTTCTTCAAACTTTTCTCAAATGTCCAACTTAACAAGGTTATGTGCAGAATCTATGTCACCTTTGTGCAGACTAAAGGTCAAGGTCAGACTTGAAGGTCAAAAATTGACTTAGAAAATGTTCTTAGATTAAAACATGTTCTTGAATATTTCGGAAACAAGCATAGGTATTTGCTTGAAACTTAAAAGATATATGAGGTGTCACAATTACAATATGCAGGTCAAGTTTCATAACTCTGTATTGGATTTTGACAAAGTTATGCCCCTTTTTAGCTCGACTTTTTTTTTTGAAAAAAAAAATAGAGGTATTGCTACAGTCAGGTCGGCGTTGCCGTTGCCGTTGCCGTTGCCGTTGCCGTCCGAAAACTTGTACCTGGATCATAACTTTTTTATTTCTTTGTGTATTGTCTTCATACTTGGCCACAACAACCCTTGGGACAAGACCTTTCAGTAGACCACACTAACCTTGACCTTCATCCATAAATGACCTTGACCTTCAAGGTTAAAAGTCCAATTTTTGCTTGTTCATGCTGTTATTGGCTGTAACTTTGTTATTTTTGAATGGATTGTCTTCAAACTTGAACATAATAATCTTTAAGGATATCCCTTAAAAATAACCAGCCAGACCTTGACCTTCACTCATAAATGACCTTGACTTTGAAGGTCAAATAATTGAAATTTTCATTTTTTTGGCTTTTATTGGCTGTAAGTTTGTTATTTTTGAATGGATTGTCCTGAAACTTGAACATAATAATCTTCAAAGATTACTGTTAAAGATATACCGGAAGACCTTGACCTTCACACATTAATGACATTGTCTTTGAAGGTCAAATTATTGAAATTTTCATTGTTTTGGCGGTCACTGACTGTAACTTTGCTATTATTGAAGGGATCAACTTCATATTATTAGAGAACATTCTTAAGGACCAGACCTTGTTGTTTATCAAACCCAACTTTGCTTGGGCTCTTAAATGACCTTGACCTTGAAGGTTAAATTACTGAATTTTCTCAGATTTGTGCAGTAAATGACCATATTTAAATATTTATTGGTGTGTGTGTGTCTATATATATATATATTTACAACAACAACAACAATAACTAAAATTGTGTCATTGTTTCTATTTATAGAATTGCGTCATTGTTTCTATTTATAGAATTGCGTCATTGTTTCTATTTAAAGAAATTGGGTCATTGTTTTTTTGTTTTTTTTTTATAGAAATGCGTCATTGTTTCTATTTTTAGAGATTGCATCATTTTTTCTATTTTTAGAAATTGCATCATAATTTCTATTTTTAGAAATTGCATCATTTTTTTCTATTTTTAGATATTGTGTCATAATTTCTATTTTTAGTATTTTTAGAGATTGCATCATTTTTTCTATTTTTAGAAATTGTGTCATAATTTCTATTTTTAGAAATTGCGTCATAATTTCTATTTTTAGAAATTGCGTCATTGGTGCTATTTTTAGATATTGCGTCATTTTTTCTATTTTTAGAAATTGCGTCATAATTTCTATTTTTAGTATTTTTAGAGATTGCATCATTTTTTCTATTTTTAGAAATTGCATTTTTAGAAATTGCGTCATAATTTCTATTTTTAGTATTTTTAGAGATTGCATCATTTTTGCTATTTTTAGAAATTGCGTCATAATTTCTGTTTTTAGAAATTGCATCATTGGTGCTATTTTTAGAATTTGCGTCATTGTTGCTATTTTTAGAAAATGCGTCATTGTTTCTAATTTTAGAGATTGTCATTTTTTCTATTTTTAGAAATTGCGTCATAATTTCTATTTTTAGAAATTGCGTCATAATTTCTATTTTTAGAAATTGCGTCATTTTTTCTATTTTTAGAAATTGCGTCATTTTTTCTATTTTTAGAAATTGCGTCATAATTTCTATTTTTAGAAATTGCGTCATTGGTGCTATTTTTAGAAATTGCGTCATTTTTTTCTATTTTTAGAAATTGCGTCATAATTTCTATTTTTAGAAATTGCGTCATTGGTGCTATTTTTAGAAATTGCGTCATTTTTTCTATTTTTAGAAATTGCGTCATAATTTCTATTTTTAGAAATTGCGTCATTTTTTCTATTTTTAGAAATTGCGTCATTGGTGCTATTTTTTAGAAATTGCGTCATATTTTAGAAATTGCGTCATAATTTCTATTTTTAGAAATTGCGTCATAATTTCTATTTTTAGAAATTGCGTCATTGGTGCTATTTTTAGAAATTGCGTCATTTTTTCTACTTTTAGAAATTGCTTCATAATTTCTATTTTTAGATATTGCGTCATAACTTCTATTTTAGTATATCTAGAAATTGCGTCATTTTTTTCTTTTTTTTAGAAATTGCTTCATTTTTTCTATTTTTAGAAATTGCGTCAATTTTTTCTATTTTTAGAAATTGCATCATTGTTGCTATTTTTAGAAATTGCATCACTTTTTTATTTTTAGAAATTATGTCATTTTTTGTATTTTTAGAAATTGCGTCATTTTTTCTATATTGAGAAATTGCGTCATGTTGCTATTTTAAGAAATTGCGTACTGTTGCTATTTTTAGAAATATGCTTAATGTTTCTATTCATATATATACAAAATATATAAAGAAAACTAATGTGACAAGACAGACAAACTAAATTTATAAAAAGGAAACGTTAATATATGTTCAAACCTTTCTATGTTTGCGTTTAGAAAAAGTAAAAAGTCGAGCGTTGCCCCCGCCCGGCGGTGGCTCTTGTTAAGTCTTTAAATTTACATACAATCAATACTAGACAATATGTTGTGTCCGCTCTATAAATTCTTTACTAATGGAAGGATTTTCTTCAAACTTTACTCAAATGTTCACTCCAATTGGGCGATGTGCAGAACCCATCTTACCCTTGTGCCAGCTGAAGGTCAAGGCCACACTTGAAGGTCAAAAATTGACTTATAAAAAGTTTAGTATATTGGGAAAATGAAAGGTTATTTGTAACTGTTTCGAACATGATTTGATAATAGATATTT